GTTCCCTGTGACAGGTGTCCCCAATGACTACACTGCCCCCTGCTGGAAGCCTATCCCATTTTCTACCTGCCTCCTGGCTGAACCAGGCCTCTGGGCGGGGACCGAGGGGCACAAGGCATCTAAGGTTCTTTCGTGGTTCCATCCTACAGCTCTCGGTGTCCAGACAAAGACTGTCCGAACACCGTGGCTTTGGGATCACGGAGGTCTCCGTCCTCTGCCTGGCCATTCACGATGCAAGGATGCAGAGGAAAGGGCCTGGTGGACTTCAACCACACGGTGTTGATGGACATGACCTAACTATCCCACGGTGTCTCGATCCAGCCTTCCACACACTTTACCCTGTAAATGCTCATGATTAGGATCTGTCAATTGACGAGACACAACTGAACACGGGAATGGACCTGGGCCACACACCTGAATTCCCTATGCCGTTCACTTTGTCCCCTCATTTCTGGGGAGACACTCTGTTCTGCCACCCATGAGGTTTCTTCTGTGATGGCCAGCAGCAACAAAGCTGTAGTAGACATTTCCCAGCCCTCCTGTGGCCCTTCTGACGCACTGGACTGTCACGTCCTTGGGTTTCTGGTTTGAACGTCTGCTGTGCCTCCCACTCTACCGTCCTCACGTCTGCGCTCACCGCGGCACCTTTTTGACTTCTGACTGATGGGTCCAAGACGAGGCCACAGCTTAACATACTTAAAAAGTTCTGCTTATAAAATATAATACAGCAATTTATTACCACCCATGAAGCTGATTCTCATAATTTCCCAGACGGTAATTAGGTTCTCATAAAAAACCTGGGATGCCAGAAGGAAATCGATCAATGTATTCAGTGTTAAATGAAATAAACGTATACTCTGTCTTAGTGTTCTATTGCTGTGAAGAGACACCATGACAAGGCAACTCTTACACACACACACACACACACACACACACACACACACACACACACACTTAATTTAATTTAATTGGGGCTTGCTTATAGTTTCAGAGTTTAATCCATTACCATCATGGCGGCATACAGTCTTCATGGCGGCACGCAGGTAGACATGGTGCTGGAGAAGGAGCTGAGGGTCCTACATCTGGATCCCAAGGCAACAGGAAGAAAAAGTGGCAGTGGGCCTGACTGGGGCTTTTGAAACCTCAAACCTACCCTTGGTGACTAAGCATTTATATATAGGAACATATGGGGTCATTCTCATTAAACCATCCCAAATGCCTTGTCAACACGACCCAAGTGTGTTCCATGTGCGAGGCTCACTTTTGTGAGCAAAGGTCCAAAGGTGAACAGACATGCGTGAGGACCAGGTGCTCTGTGCACACTGTGACCAGGAGGAACAGGACAGCTGTGCTGACACAGATGAAATAGACTGTGAGCCACAGTCAGGTCACAGGACCCAGGGTACTGTGTCCTTCCTGAACACCCAGTGCAGCCGGACACTATCTATTAAGTACTGACAGGATCAAGCCCTGGAAGAGCCTCTGCTTTTCAGAAGTGCTGTACGCAGTGCTGTGTCTACTGCTCTCCTTCTGAGGACTCTCTTTTGGGGGTTTGAGTCGCTCTGTAGAGGAGCTACCTGTCGGCAGATACTAAACCTGGGAGGAAAGAGCCTCATCCTTGGGGTTCATTGCCAGGTCTGAGAGCAGAAAAGCAAAGAAACAAAAGCCTGCCAGCCCTGGCCATTGCGGCTCAGCCTCTGACTTTGCAGCTGAGTTCCAAGTGCCCTGGAGTCCACACTAGCCTGAGTCGGTGACCTCAAGTTCAAGGCCCTGCTTCCTGGTTTGTAGCATCCATCACAGGACAGTTTCAGGCCAGGGGAGCTGTGGACACCATCTAGGTCTTGCTGTCAGCATTTGAAGGGGACAGTTGAGCCTCAGAGAAAGCAAGGGCAGCAAGGTCATGGACAGTAGTGACAAGCAGTGGGCTGAGTCCTAAGTCACCTCCCCTCAGATCCACAGGGGACATGCAGCCTTAACCAACTCCCCCGATTCTCTGATCCTTCTAGCCTTGCAGGTTCTGCAACATGTCCCTGCCTCACCTCAGACAATTGTGTCACTGAAAGTGAAGATAAAATGCATCTCATCCGCTCCTTTGAAAGATGCCCTCTGAGATGCAAAGTGACATTGCAGAGTCTAGAACAGGAAGAGGCCACCCTTCACAGTGCTGGGACTCAGTCCATTCTCAGTCCCCAGTGTAGCTGCCTTTTAGTTATTTCTGAGACAAGACTCACTGAGTGTTGAGGAAGTGCTGTGATGGACTCTCGGGGCAGTGGGTGAGGGTAGGGGGAGAGGGGGTGGGGGACATGCAGGTGTTGAGAGCCAGACCACCCAAAGCTTTCTCAGAGACTCTGCTGCAAGGACAAAGGGAACACAGTTCTGTGTCCTTGCCCAGAGGCAGACTTGGCAAGGCCATTCTGGAGCTGGAGCTAGGGCCTCAAAGGAGCTAAGGTTTCAGTTCCTGGGAACTTGGCTTTTCTCCCTGAGGAGACTGGAGTTATCAGCCCCAAGGCGGCTCTGTGCTCAGTCTCTGACACCTTGAGATATCTTGTGTTCCCTTTGTGCAACATTGCGTGGTTAGCTTCCTGCTGGTGGCTCCCCATTGTGTGGTGGCTCTCCACCCGACACTGTCTCCTTTATCCCCAGGAAACAGTGTGTAAGATGCTGCACTTCTCAGTAAACCTGCTTGGCATAAAATAAGCTTATGCAAGATGCCCAGATCCCAAACTTTTCCAACTTACCTTCTAATCTCCTAGTCGTCCCATGTAGGACCCTGTCACTGAAGAAGGACCTGCTGGTCCAGGTCACTTGGGGAAAGAGGAAAATTCCCAAAGCTGTGTGAGATGCAAAATCACTGCACCTCTATAGAGCCATGAGGATCTATGCACTGCCAGCGGTGACGGGGTGGGCAAGAGCACCTCCCTTTCACAGGCTTGCTCTACCATCCCTATACTACACGGTCCCTTGGTCTATGGTGTGTACTGTTCACCCTACCCTCCATTATTCTACTGGGGAAGGGAGATCTCAGTCTCAGAATCACGGACAGTCAAACAGGGTCCCATGTGTCATCTTCTGGGTGTTCTTGCTTGGCGGCATCTCTGGCAGTGGAGCATGGGGTCCAGGACAATCACTCAGTGAGCTCACCCAAGGTCCCCGAGGACAAGCCCTGATGAATATCATCAATTTCACACATTAAGGGCTATAGAATCACTTAAAAAAAATCGTGGACAAAGGGCTTGTGGTATTGGGAACCTTATCTAGACTCTGGCACATCCTAGGCCAGCCCTTCTTTATTGAGCCATACCCCAGCCCTCCTACTGCTTTTGAGGACAGTATAACACTCTCTCTAGGGAAGACAGAGTGGAAGGCTGGCCTTTGGCTGCAGTCCAGAACACAGACTCCCAAGGACACATTGCTTTGGACCTTTAAGCCTCTTCAGCGGCTCTCAAAGACTCACACAAAGAGGTGGGACTTCAAAATATCCAGGAAGGATGTTTTCTATGGACTAAAATGAACTGGAAAAAAAAAAAACACCCCACACTGGTAACAGACCAACCCACCAGAACTACACTAGATCCTCAGGTAGAGATGGCTGGACTCCTCCCTACCCCATCCCTTGGCCAGGCAGGTCCTGTGTGGATCCTAGCTGGCTTGCTGGAGTTTCCTATCGTGCCTTAACACTTGTCGTAAAGGGCCCGTGAGTCCTAGCAGGACCATGGAGTCCAGAATCACTCCTATCACAGAGCTAACTAGGACTCAAGCCACAGATACCCACGGTCTGTCCTGGAGGGGGACACAAATGTCACCCTGTGGGATGTCAGCGTGAGACCCAGATGGTGGTTGTGAGTGGAGCCTCTGGTACTGTGAGAAAGGAGAGCAGATGGGGACCTGTTAACCAGCCCCAAGAGTTACATGAGATCAGCGCCTGCTCTAGTTTTACTTCTGATGCTATGGAGAACACTCTGGCAAAAAGCTGGTTAGGGAAGAAAGGTTTGATTTGACTGACAAGTCCAGGTTATGATCAGGTTCAGCGGGGAAGTCGAGGCAGTGATTTAAAGCATTACATCCACCGTCAAAAGCAAAGTGTGCTGTGGGATGTCTTTCTGTAGGCTGTGAATATGTGTTGCTCTGATTGGTTGATAAGTAAAGCTGCATTGGCCTATGGCAGGGCAGGATGGAGCCAGGTGGGAAAATCCAAGAGAGATAGAGGGAGGAGAGGAGAGGGAGGAGGCGCTGTGAGCTGCAGGCAGGAGAAACAAGAAGTGAAAATACTGGTAAGCCAAGGCCACGTGGCCACTCGTAGATTAATAGAAATGGGTTAATTTAAGACATAAGAGCTAGCTAGCAAGAAGCTTGAGCCATAGGCCATCCAGTCTGTAATTGATATAAGCCTCTGTGTGGTTACTTGGGCCTGAGTGGCTGCAGGACTGAGTGGGACACAGGAAAACTTCCAGCTACAAAAGTGAGACTAAATACATGGGTCTCACTTCCTTGCCAGCTCTCAGCTAGCTTTCTTTATTTTTATACCATTCAGACCCTCCTGCCCAGAGAATGGTGCTGCCCACAGTGGGCCCGGTCTTCCTACATCAATTAACAATCAAGATAATCCCCACAGGCATGTCCATAGGCCAATCTGATCCAGACAATTTTTCATTAAGAGTTTCTTCCCGGGTGATTCCAACTTGTATCAAGTTGAAAGTTAAAACTAACCAGGGCAATATGTAACGGGACATTTCTCATCCTGACCACTTGCTCCCAAATACCTGACAGCCGCTTCCCAAATAATTGACTCAGAGACTTAATATTACTTATAAATGCTTGGCCGATAGCTCAGGCTTGTTACTAGCTAACTCTTACATTTAAATTAACCCATATTTCTATTTATGCTTTGCCACATGGCTCATGGCTTGTTACCTCATTTTCTATATGTCCTGCTTGCCTGGTGCCTGGCTTATATCTCTCCTGACTCTGCCCTTCTTCTTCTCATCATTCCCCTAGTTTGGTTGTCCCACCTTTAATTCCTGCCTGCTACTGGCCAATCAGCATTTTATTAAACCAATTCAAGTGACAAATCTTTACAGTGTACAAGAAGATTCTTCCACAGCAACAAAACCCTTACACTCAAGGTTCATGGATGTTCCCAGGCTCCTTCAACCACAAGAACACACCACTTCAAGTTGCCATCTCTAGAGCAGAGAGCAGACTTCAGCAACCCTGGTCTGCCAGTGTCTCAATCTGGGTTTTCTCCAGAACTGTGAGCCATCAGGCTCTGCCTCCTCAGGCATGGGTGCTTTGCTCTATCAGCCCAGATTGACTAAGACAACAGGAAGGGAACCCAAGTAAAATGAGAAATTCACTGTTAACCACGAGTGCCAATGGCTGGCTCTGAGAGTTTCTGCTAAGACTTCATAGGAAGCATTTTCAGACTCCCAGGAAGAAAGCCCACCTCCTGTCTTCTGCTCTGTGACGGCTGGTGAGGGGGTGAGGAGTTGGACCCCCCACCCCCCGTACAGCTTTGCTGGGAATGTAAAAGTGAAGCAGCTCCTGGGGCAACAGAACAGCGTCCTCGAGACATTCAAAAAGGAATCACCACGGGACACAGAAATCCCACTCATACCTGTAAGCAGGGTCTCCAAGGGCATCTGCACACCTGTGTTCATACAAAAAGGCTCACCACAAACAAAAGGGGCAACCAAGAGGTGAGCTCTGTGGATACCACACCAAGTAAAATGTTCCCTTCATGACACACTGTGGTTCTCCATTTGTGGGAAGCACCTAGAGAGCTGGGTGAGGACACAGAGAGGAGAATGTGGTTTGGGGGCCAGTAAGGAAGGGTGGCCCTGTGTGTGTACAGAGCACGAGTTTCTGTTTACAGGAGGAAAAGGCTCAGGGGAAGAGAGGCGATGGTGGAAAGGCATGCGATGACAGGAACCTCAACAGATGAAGCCACATAATGTAGCCCCGGTCCTCATCCAAGCTCGAAGGCTCTACCATCCCTACATTTGGGTCCCTTCGTCTGCCCTGCATGGCTCGTCATCATTTGGCTTTGAAATGAATGACTCAGCACTCTTCAGCCCCCTGCCTAGGGGATAATGCCGCCCACAGTGGGCTGGATCTTCCACACCAATTATCAAGACAATCCCCACAGACACACCTATAGGTCAGTGTTAATGAGCTCTCCGGCACAAATGAGCGTGTGCATTCCGAGGGAAGCTTTCTTCTAACAGCATTATATCATTTCCATTTCTATCAACATCTTCCTAAAGGTGTTCAGAGATCATTTTCAGTTCGCCTCTGGAGTCAGACTTTCAAGATACATTTGAAAACAAACAAAACCCAACCTGCTGAGTAATTGAGCTTCTTTGTTACAGGGCTGATCTGTTCACTGCTGCTTCTTTTTTTTCCTGTTCATGAAGTGGCCTCTGTGTGCTCTGAGCAAAGCATTAGGGGTGAAGAACGAGTCAGACGCTCTGGCTGCAAGGGAAACGTGGGGTAAGAGCAGAGTCAATGTGGCGGGCGGGGTGAGACCCTGCTGCACCTGTTAGTAGATGGAGTCCAGGTGACTTTCCACGACAGTAATGTCCCTGACTGAGGCCAGAGGCCAGCAGGAACTGGGCATATTCTAAGAAGATGTCAAAATGTGCAGGTCTGGCTGAAGTCCAGGGAATCAGAGACTCGGTAAGATCAACAGAAGCCATAAACAGCTCTGGTGCTGACATCGTGCCCTTTCCCAGAAATTCAAGAATCCAGCAGAGTGGAAGCTGCTACCTGGAGGAGTGACTGTGGTCCTGCCCCGAGACCAAAAGCAGGCACCGCCACTGTCACCAGCCACAGCTAAGGCCCCGAGACCGAGTCTCTGACTGCCCCGCTTTCCTCTTGGGTCGTTCCTCACTCAGTTTGTGGGGAGGCTAGTCTGGAGGGGGCTAGCCTTCCACAGCAAGTGCATGTGTGACCCGGCAGGATGTCCTCAGAGACCGCTGTCCCGACCCTGGACAGGATCGTTATAGAGTATGATTACCCAGACAAAGGATATGGAGAGCCTTTGGTTTGAATGAACTTTACAAGGCTCCCATCACCGAGCACCAATGCTGCATGGGGACACGCAGTTGAAAACCAACGTCCCCAAGGCCCACAGACTGGATGGGGAAGTCATCAAGGAAAAGAGAAGTAAGTGAAGATCAAACTCATGTCTGCGGAATGATTGCGACATGACTGGCTGTGTATAACGAATTTTGAGTGCTGTTTAATCCCTACAAAGATTCCTTGTCGATGCTATTTTCCTTATTTTGAAGATGGGGACAGACAAAAGCAGTTAGGTATCTTGTCCCAGGTCACAGAGCTAAGAGATGGAGCAAGACACTGTCTCCAAGATCTCCCTTAGCTATCACACCAGCCGTTCTCAGCCTGGGCTACACGGGAATAGATTTAAGGTAGGGGCTTGCCAGTGTTGGGCCTTGCCCCATCTGGCCCAGCTGAGCTGGAGTGTCCTTACTTGGCTAAGGCACCAGAGTTTCCTCCTATGTGGCTGCTGTGGGGGCAGAAAATAGGACCCTGAGGGCAGGGATGCTGTATTGAGGATGTCCCAAAGACAGCCTAGCTTACTGACAGGCAAACCGGGCAGAGGCAACACCTTTGGAGCGAGAGCAGAGCCCAAGACAGGAAGTTGGAAGTCTTGGGCTTCCGGGACTGGGAGGGCTAGGGTCCCGGACCTCCCCACAGCAGACAGACAGACCTCCCCACAGCGGACAGACAGACCTCCCCACAGCTGATAGACAGACCTCCCCACAGCTGACAGACAGACCTCCCCACAGCGGACAGACAGACCTCCCCACAGCTGACCAGCAAAGCTTTCACAAGGAGTGGGGTGGTCTGTGTTACAGCCCCTGCCACCGTAGATAACAGTAGTGACTGTTCAGAGGACGCCATCACATTCGGTGTGCCTGTCCTAAGTGCAGGCACAGACTCAAAAGTTCAAGAGCAGGAGAGGGCTGGGACTCCTCTTGTGGCAGCGATAACGACATTTCAAAGAAAATGCTTGTGTTGAATGGAGGGTTTTCAAAGCACCCTTTAAACTGCTGGCGCACCAGGGTGCGGGGGAGAGAGCGGAGGTGCTTTTCCTCCGCTGAGAGGGAAGAAAGCACCCATCCAAATGCACCCATCCAGCAGACTTCAGGCTCGTCCTGGCCAGGCCACGGTTCTGTCTCAGACCTGCGACAGTCTGCTTTCTTAGGAGTAAACAAATCCTGGAAAACAGAAGTACTGCTGCACGGTCCTCGTTCCCCAGGAACACTGAGTCTGGTAGGCCACCCTGGTCTATAGGGCTTTTCTATCCTTCCGCACAATGTCTCAGGTGGGTCCTGACAAGGACTCTGCCAAGCAGGGAAGGAAACATATGAGTGGACATGGTGTTGCCAATGCCACCAGCTCTGACATCAAGGAGGGTACACCGTGGGATGCCTGTGTGAGGAGCCACAGCCGTTGTAAGAACATCCCAGGTAGGCGGTATGGTGCCCCACAAACATTGTGGGTACCCCTTTTTCTTAGCTGCCTTTCTAGATATGAGCATGGAAACAGAGATGAATCCTCCTGCTCACCGGCTGTCCCTGGCCTGTGTGTTTTAGCACTGAGGTGACACCAGCCCCATGCCAATGGTCTGCCAGCCCTTAGGTTCCCCCCCCCGGGGGGGGGGGGAAGGTTCAAGCACCATTTAGAAAGCAAGTGCCTCTCCCCAGGACTAAGGTAAATGCAGACATTTCAAGTTAAGCTAGCACTTCCAGGTCAGTGTAGAGGCAATAACCAGGAGTCTCCTGCAGTGAAGGAGCTAGCTTGCCCAACTGTCTCTGACACTCGGTACAACCTATAAAAACAAAGGGGAATTTTATAAAAACAGAACGAGACCTGCAACCTCTTCAGAGCCACAGGGGTGGCTGGCTTCCAGTCTTCTGAGCTCCACGCTGGGTGAGAAGAAAGCAGCTTTTCACACCGGAGAACGGGAGCGTGGAAAGGGAGCATGACCCAAGAGACCAGACGGTGCTGGAGTAACAGAGCAGTCTCCTCTGCTGATCGAGCCTGTTGGAATCTTCCCGTGTGGATGTACAGAAGGGCTCAACCTCTCAGCTTGGCAACTCCATCAGGACGGTCACTGTGCAAAGGAGGCAGGAGCTGCCTGGGTGATCTGCCACTCGGCAGTGTGACAGAAGCAGGGGAAATCCAGGTGAACCAAGTGTGTCACGGCGTTGGCTGTGTCCGGATCCTTGTAGTGCACTTTCTGTCTTCTGACCCCGAGGTCATCGGGTTATCGTTCAGATTCAAGGTGGTTCCAGAAGAAAGGGGAGCTGAGGATTTCAGGAGTCATCAGGAATAGGAGTCCCTGAGGTTGGAGCTAGCCGGCTCTGCTGCCTTCCTCCAGCCTCGAAGGCTTCTGAGCACCTTGCGGTACGAGTGGGTGAAGGCCTGGTTGGAGAAGCAGTAAACGGCTGGGCTCAATGCACTGTGCAGGCAGGTGAGGCTGCCAGCGACATCGGAGGCCTGCACTATGGCTTGCTGGACGCTGCAGCTCTCAAATTCCCGAAAGACATGCACCAGGACCCGGGCCAGGACACTAGGCAGGAAGCAGAGTCCAAACAGCAACAGCACCAAGGCAACCAGCGCCCTGGCCCTCCGGAGCCTGGGCTGTTTGTCAGACTCCCGGAGTCTCTCCTGGAGGGTCCTGATGAGCCCAGTGTTACAGAAGAATATGAGGCCGAAGGGAAGCAGGAGCTGCAGGAAGAAGAGCACCTCCTGCCAGATGGCGCCGGCCTCAGTTTCTCCTATGGGGTAGAAGCTGGGGCACTCGGTGGAATTCTGGATAGCCTTGTGGATGATCATGTTTTGGGGAGTGAGGGCAACCATGAGAAGCCATACTAGGCTAGAGATGCCCCAGGCTGCCCTTGGAGATAGCAAGTTGACTCGGAGCCGAGGATGGACCACACGCAGATATCGGTCTAGAGCCACTGTCGTCAGGAAGGCGACCCCCACCCCACGGCTGAAGGCCAGCAGGAAGAGCAGGATTTGGCAGGGCACATGGCCGAGTCCCCAGGTCTTGCCCTTCAGGTAGAAGACAGCGAGGAACGGCAGACAGGCGATCAGTAGCAGATCGGCCACCACCAGGTTGAAGAGGTAGACCGCGTAAGGCTTCCACACTTTGAGACGGTAGAAGAAGGTCCAGAGGGCGACAGCATTACCTGTAAGGCCCAGAGCACACTCCAGGGTCAGCATTGTGCCCACAGTGGTCTCCACCACAGCGCCGGCAGCTGAGCAGTTGAGGCGCGCCATGGGCCAAGGCCACACTGAGCTGAAGCCGCTCAGAAAAGAAAATTCAAGGAGGTCTGGCTATGCTCTTTCCTCTGAGAGAAAGAGAAAATAACCCTTTCTTGCCACAAAGCAAACAAGTTCTGCATTCGGCGAGAAAATAATACTGAAACAGTACCAGGGTCTGGCCCAAGGAGACGCAAAATTTGTTTGGGGAAAGAGGATGGACAGAGACAGGGAAACCCCCCAAGTTTTGCCCTGTTTTGTTTGTTCCCGAGAAAGGGGAAATTGTGTTTCATTTCATGTCAGTAGCTCCGAAGCCAGGGCTGCAGCGTTCTGGGAACGTTCAGTGAGCAGGGCTAGTGTCCTAGTTCCTGAAGAAGGAACTAGCAACGATTCATAACACGAAGACCTCCGCACCTTTGGGCATTTAAAACAATGACTGAAACAGGCAGATTGTTCTGTAGTGTGACTGTGTGTCAGATGGTTCTGTAGGGTGACTGTTTTAAAAGGGAGGTTTACGGCTCCCCGTCTTAAATAATGACATTGGTTAAAAAAAAAAAAAAAAAAAACCCTGAGTATGGCTAGATTTTATACATGAGGTCAGATGTGGTTGCCGCACTCACTTGAACATGTATTTCAGATTTCCTGGCTATTTAAAGTTGAAGTTTTTCATTTATTCTTCCAATCAGTCTAAAAAGTATGTGTGTGTGTGTGTGTGTGTGTGTGTGTGTGTGTGTGTGTGTTTCGGGGAGTGACAAGTTTTCTGCTAAGACTCTTACTTGACACTCACACTACCTGGATAGGACCTCGCACTCTGGGGTTTGGCCCTGCAAGCATGGTAAAGTCCTCCCATCCATTCGTTCTTCATTCTGTCCCTGGGCACAACACTTCGTGAAGCCACATTCCTTTGTCTGGAGCCGTGTGCCGGGAGTGACCAGAGCTCAAGAGCTGTGTTAATGCACCATGGTCAAGAGTGTGGAGACAGGAGAGAGGGTGACAGAGAATGCCAGTCTGAACAGCTGGACCACCCTCTTGATGGGGAAACTGCGCATTTGAAGGATGCAAGACAATGTGGAGAGAGGGAGGTCTGTTGAGAGGTGAAATAGAAGACGTGGGGCCTTCTCTTGGGTTATGAGATTCCTCCATTTGTTCTCTGGGGAGGATGAACAGCAGCATTTTTAAACAAGATACACCAATGTGAAAACTCCTATCTAGAGGCCTGGTTTCAGAGGTCCTCATTACCTCCATCCAGGAAGGATAACAACCATCCTCCCTCCCTCCCTCCTTTACTCTCAGGGACCTATGGCCAACCCAGGAAATTATGCTCTCTCAAATTCCCAAATGAACCCCGAGAGCCCCCGTTGTCACGTACGGTGACCCGTTCATAAGTCCTAGGACTTATGGACATCGTGGGAGCCGTTGTATTTCTTACCACGTTGGCATCTCCAAACATGATCTCTGTGATGTGAGAGAAGGGGCATCTTGAAGTCTCACGGATCTTAGATCCTTTGTCTCCCTAGGGCTGCGGCTGAGTGGAACTGACCAGGGGTCACCTGCAGACCCGAGTCTGTGCTTCGGCTCTATCCTGCCTGCACAGCTCGTCACAAAGAAAAGTATTATTCTGGATGCTGAAACTCACCGTCTAGCTTTAGTATTTATCGTTACTTTTTTTATTATGACACCAATATGCTCAGTTATAGGAAATATGGAGCGAAGTAAAGTAACAGAAAACTTTGTGTGTGTGGTCTGTCTCGGGGTGCTGCTTGCTCAGTCCGGCCGCTTCTTCCCCCGGTATCGTTACAGGAAACGCATGGGCGTTGCTGTACACGGTTTGCTCTACAGCTTCGTTTGCCCATTTGACCCGGAGCCCCACAGGTTTCTCATCGTTGCGGTTTTGTTAAATACTGAGAGCATTGAAAAGCAGCATTCCCAGCAGGCTGCAGTGGGTGTCGCTCTGTCTGCCATGATGCAGCAGGAAGAACTGCAGAAACTGCACATGTATCAAAGGCTGGGGGGGGAGGGGCTTTGCACACGCGTGCACAGTTAATGTTTGTGTTTATAGGCCTTATCTTTAAGTCAGTGTAAAGTTGACCGTGATAATCATATATATATATGTAAATTATTTTATATTATTATTTATATATATATTTATATATATATATATATAAATTATTTTTCTTGGCAGACTTACTAATCCAGGGAATTGAAGGAAGCAAGAATTTGTCAAGGAACACATTAGTGTGGATTCTTAGATCCCAGAACGTCACATCCACCCGTACAAGCACCAGGCACTGGCCTTTCATCCAGCCTTGCACTAGTGTGCCCTAGTCCAGGGAGTAGTCAGGTTCCGTATAAGGTGTGCCTGCCACTTTGTCAGCAGCCTCGAGAGTTGAGACATGACAGGGTTGTCTTCAACTCTACTTAATTTACCCTGTAGGAAGCCCATCTCTCTCATACTCTGCCCACACGCTCTCCACCTCAAGGCCCTTATGTCAAGGGGTTCAGGGATCACCCCCATTTTCCTGCTTCTCGGGCTCGTGACCATGCATGCCCGTGGGTACCCTGAGCTGCACTTCTGGGTAGTCAGTCCCATGCGGCTGAGGAGCCTGTTCCCATTGCGGACGGGAGGAAACCACAGGCTGGAGAAAGAGGGCAGTTTCCAAAGGGAACTGCATTTTATCAGCACAGTATTCATCTCAATTTAATCCCTTTTAATCATGCGAAGGCTGAAGCCAATCTCATTTAAGTCATGTGTTTGGAGCCAGGGAGAGAGACACTCTGAGCGATGCTCAGGAGGGAGACAAGCCCACATTTCTCAAAGTCTTCTGCATTCGGCATCTGTTCGACAGCTGTGGAACCAGTGTGTCTGAGAGGGTAATCACCATCACCTTGGTATCTCCAGTTCTCAGCACCCATCGTTAGGAAGGCATTCTTCTGTTCCATCCAACTGGAATGTGACAGTCATCAGCCCCATGGCTCCTTCACTGTCAGACACACCCACCTCAGGACAAGGAGGAGC